TTGGTAAGTTCTAAATTCAGGATTTTTTGATTGCTGAACCTTGGTGATCAGCCTTAAGAATAAGAAAGTGCCAGCATAAAAAAAGTGGCTAAATAAGGAAATAGACCCTGGTGGCTATCTTTAGAAACGTGAAGGTGCCTAAATAAGGAAATCAAATGGTTTAGTAGGGAGAGCGAAGGGGGAGGGCAAGACCTGCTAGTGCCATATTTGTCATACTTGGGTCTATTAATGCCATGCAGTTCCTATGAAGGACCCTAAGGGCTTTTGCCAGTCTTTCTACCCCTCTACAGCTTCCCCCTCCCGTCTGGGATCAAGGCCAGGCTAAGTTCCATTCTCCATCCACAGGAACATTGTTGAGTAAACTATTCTCAGAAAAAAACACAGAATGTACTGACTGATAGTCACCTGACCCTCTGGAAAGTCCCAAGTAGAGTTTAAATGTGTGTCACGATCTGCCCATGCTTACTAGCCAATGGATTTAAAGGTCGATTTGCTTAGCAGATAAGTTTGAACTGTAACCTTGCTGATGTAACCTGTGCCCCTAAAAAGTATAAAAACTGCTTGTAATAGCCATTCAGGGTTGCCTTCTAGTCACTTGCTTTGAGGGACTGATTGAAGGTCAATCCGGACGCACTGGAAAATAAACCTCTTGCTTTTGTATGGATCTGTGTCTCTGCGTCTCACTGGAGGTGTCTCAATATAAGTACCACTGACTAAGGGTCAGGGTCTTACATTTGGAGGCTCGTCTGGGATTTGAGGAGATCCCCGCCCCCCAGTGACCACCAACTAGACTGTTTGGAGGGGAAAAAAACCGAGCTCAGCAACAGGGGCCGACCGGTGTTTCTCTCTCTGTCTTTTGGTTTCACTTTTGGTTCACATGCACAGTGTACCATAGATCTGGACACTGAGAGAATTGAAACATCGACCTCCCACCTACAGGAGTCTCTGGATTGTGTGCTGCCCTCAAGGAAGAATGTTGCTTTTACATAGACCATTCCGGGGTAGTTAAGGATCCCATGGCCAAGGTGAGAGAAGGGCTCAGTTTGAACTGAAACCTTACTGATGTAACCTGTGCCCTTAAAAAGTATAAAAACTGCTTGTAATAGCCATTCCGGTTCACCTTCTTGTCCCTCGCCTAGAGGTACTGATTAAGGGTTGATCTCGAAGTGTTGGAAAATAAACCTCTTGCTTTTGCATGGATCTGCATCTCGGTGTCTCACTCAGGGGGCATCTCGAAGTAAGTACCACTGACCGAGGGTCAGGGTCTTACAAGAGCAGGACATGGAAATTAGGCCAACAGCCAGCATTTGGCCACATTGCCAAGTCAGGAGCTCAGACATCAAGGGCGCCAGAGCAGAATCTGGGTGAGGGGAGCAGCTGAGATGGCATTCCTCCGGGTTTCCTAGATAGTCCTCAGACGTGTACTTCCGCTCTCCTAGAGAGGCCCGCGGAGGAAGTGGGCCCAGCGAGCGAACAGCCATCAGGAATAGCGCAGAGTGTTCCGTTTTGAGTTGGTGAGCGGCTGGGAGATCGGGTGCAGGAGCGGGCGGCGGGACACAGTTGCGGTGACCTGGCGGCGTCATGGTCCAGGGCGGCGTTCTCCAGGAAGCGGGGACGGTTGGCGCGGTGCTGTACAGCAGTCCGGTGTCCGCCATTATGACTCTTGGTATTCTAACTTCTTGACAAACTACGCACGTAGGTCCACGTTTCACTGTGTGGGTCGGTTATGCTATTGCCTTAAAGAAGTAAAAATAAAAAAAGCCCCACGGTTGTGATGTAAAATGTCTGGGATTAAAAAAAAAAAAAAGCTTGGAATTGCTTGGTGTGGTGGCTTCGGCCTGTAATCTCCGCTACTGAGGAAGGTGAGGCAGAAAGACCGGGAACTTGGGCAGTTTAATGAGCCCTTTTCTCAAATTTTGAAGTAATATAGGTAGAAATGTTTTCTAAGCTGAAAGGGCGCGTTTGAAATTAAGCTTGAATAACGCACTTGAAAGCTGAAAAGTGCTCCAGTCCCACCCTCAATTTTTTTTGTGTGTGGCTTCTGGTGTCCAGGAAGTATTTTGTGATGTCGGAATTGCTTGAGAGTAAAATGATAAAAAGAAGGAAGTGAAATGATGGGGGCTGGGAAACCTCATTTAGTTTTAGGTGACTCCATTTCGTGAGCTTCGCTTCAGGCGTCCCAGGCCAGCAGAGCTTCATTCTTGACCTGACATACAGCTCCAGGAAGTCCATTGTTCTAATTAACTAAGCTTTGGAAACCTCCCTTATAGTAACTTTGAAATTTCTGTCACTGGTTCTGCCTCTGGTACAATGCAGTTGTGGATTTCAGCTTTATAAAGCCTCAAACTCCCCCTCTTATACTAGCCTGGAAATCATACATCATACATGTGAGCAGACTGGCATAGAACTCATAGAAATCCACCTGCCTCAGCCTCCTGAATGCTGGGATTAAAGGTGTGTGCCACCACACCTGGCCCTACATCTTATTTTTGTGTGAGTGTATGTGTGTGGCAGTGGACATGTGGGGCTCAGAAGACAACTTGTGGGTGTGTCTCTCTCGCTCCGGTGTTGGCTCTTGTGATTGAACGGGTTCAACTGAACTGCAGTCTTGACACTAGATAGCTTTACTCAGTGGGCTATCCTATAGGCCTTTCCTGCCTTATTTTCCAAGACCTTGACAAAAATTAAAAAAAAAAAAATAGTGTGTAAATGTTTCATCTGCGTATGTGCCTATATACCATGTGTGTACCTGGTGCCTATGGAAGGCAGAAGAGACTGTCAGATCTCGTAAGACTAGAGTTATAGAAACAAGCATATACTGTTACATGCTTGCAGGTGGGCACAGGGAATTGAACTAGGGTCAGCTAGGCGCCTGTGGAAGCAGTGACCAGTGCTCTTAAATCAACAATCCACCTCTCCAGTCCCCAAGATATTTTTTGAAGTATTTTGTTACTTGGAATTTTAGAATGTTCTTCCCCTGCCTTTTTTTTTTTTTTTAAGAATGTTTTTATATTTGATATTTCCTTGTGCTTAGAGGAGGTTGATATGTCCTTGTTTTTGGCAGTTGTGAAATCTGACCACTTATCTGTGTTTAATTTTGTAGCTTATATTGTTTGGGGGGGTGTGAAAAAATTTTGAATACTGCATTCAAGTATTGTGTTTCTCCACAGCGTTCTTTCCCTGGTTAGCATCTTGTCTGTAGCAATGAGCTTGGTGTTCTACATTTTTTATTGGGAGGCCTTGTGAGGAAGATTTCCTTTCTCTTCTTTACTTTGTTGTTTGTTTTTGAGACAGAGTCTCACATAGCCCTGGCTGGAATTTGCTTTACCTCCAAGTCACAAAAGTCTGCCCTCCTCTGTCTCCTAAATGGTGGGATTAAAGTCATGTCACTAGCTGACTTGGCTATTCGAGCTTCTTAAAATCTAATCAGTTTAGCCGGGTGTTGTTGGCACACGCCTTTAATCCCAGCACTTGGGAGGCAGAGGCAGGCGGATTTCTGAGTTCGAGGCCAGCCTGGTCTACAGAGTGAGTTCCAGGACAGCCAGGGCTACACAGAGAACCCTGTCTCGAAAAAAAAATAAAACAAAAGAAAACAAAGTCTAATCAGTTTATATAAGTGTGAACTTCTGACCCCACTGCTTTGTTTTTAGACAGGGCCTATGTAGGCAGCCCAGGCTGGCCTCGAATTCCTTATCTTTCTGCCTCCACTTTCCAAGTGCTGGGATAATAGACATCATCACCATGCCTGGCTTGCTTTACTTTTTTTTGTTGTTGTTTTAAAATTTAATTTATTATTTCTGTGTGTGTGTGTATATGTGTGTGTGTGTGTGTATACAATGTACTACTGCGGCCATGGAGTCAGTTCTTTGCACTTTTATGTGGGTTCTGGGATGGGACTCAGGTGAAGTCAGTGCTTTGACCTGTTGAGCTATCTGCCCCTTCTTAAATATATACTTTTTGCCTTTCACTGATTTTCTGATATTACAAAACACTTGTATTTTCTCTGTCCAGCATGGCATCAAACACTTCTTCACAGAGCCCTGATTCTTTTATTGGAGAATGGTATTAAGAAACCAAATTCTGGACATTCTAGGTATCATCACCATAATCATCATATCATCATCATCTTATTCTAGATTTATTTATGTGTATCTGAGTGAGTGTATGCAGACGTGCATGTATGTTTATATGTACACACAGAGTCCAGAAGAACAGTGATCCCTTAGAGCTGGAGTGTAACAGACACTTAGCCTCTTATGTAGATGCTGGAATCAGAGCTTCAGTCCTTGTAATTGCATAGAAGTGGTTTTAACCACCAAGACATTTCTACAGTCCCGTATAGTCTTACTGCTTAATTGCTACATCAATTTCAAAATTATTTTTAAAATTTCATCATGTAACTAGGGCAGAAGGCTCTACCTCCTTCAGATTTTACTTCCATATATGCTTTTCCTTAATCTCTATGTTTATTCTCTTCCAATGCCATACTGGCTTGATTTCTAAAGCTATCTCTGTGGCTATAAGTCTTGCAAGTAAGATGGCTAAGTGTGTAAAGGCACCTGAGCTTGAAACCCAGAGAATGACTCCTGTAAATTGACACCTGACCACCTCAGCATGCTTACTGTGACACACAGCATCCACACACAAAATAAAAATCTAACAAATTCTGGTACACCTATTTCTTACACTTTTGTTTTCAAAGTAATTTTTAGCTAATCCCCTTTTAATATAAATTGTATATCATTTTTGCATAGCTCTTCTCCTGCCAAACTTCTTCTCTCCTCTCATCTGTGCTTCTGGGATTCATTCCAGGGACTTTATATGTGTTAGGCAATTGTTCTACCACTGAATTGCATTCCTAGCTTCCTGAAATTCTGATAGGAAATAAACCAAACATCAGCTTGGCAGGGATTGATAGCATAGCTTTTCATGCCATGTC